CCACATCCCCAGCCCTTTTTTGTATTTCATTTAGAGAAAAGGTCTCACTGACTTGCTTAGGGCCTTGCTAAGTTGCTGAAGCTGGCTTTGAACTCACGATCCTCCTGCCTCAGCCTCTGGAGCAGCTGGGATTACAGGTGTGTGCCACTGTGCCTGGCTTATATGCAGCTATTAAATACATGTCTTCTAAGACCATCGAATGACATAGGAAACTGAAGCCTATAAAGCTAGATACTGGGCTGGGGACACAGCTCAGTGGTAGAGTGCTTGTATATAGTCCCTAAATCAAAGAGGGGCAGTAAAACAACATTTCTGCTCCCCAAACCCAGCCAAGTTAAGAGAACAACTAGAGCAGGTCTGGGCTGCAATATCCAGATATGTATTATCAGGAGGACCCTGGCTTTCTCTTCGGCTCGCTGAAAATTAGGGCAAGTCAGAGTTATCTGGAGAAAGCTGCGGCTTACAGAAGTGCAGCCAGGTTCCGTGCTCCTTGGGATGCTGGTTCTATAAGCAGGCCAAGCACGCTGCTGCTGACGCGGTCACTGCTTCTGCAGCCTCACATGTAAAAACCCTCTCTGAGCAGGACAGAGCAGAACTGGGGCACTGTGGACAAAACATTGAGGAAAGGAGGCACTGCTTGGCTGCTTGGCAAAGCACTGGGAGGCACAGAGGTGCAGTCAGCCTGTCACCACTAAACTCTTCTTGGAACTGTCACTGATCTCCTGCAGGCTTTCCCCAAGAAACCACATGTGTCTCGACTGTCTCTTGGGCACTTTCTTTGGCCTACACTACTGCGCTGGCCCAACTGGGCTGCGGAGGAGACAGCTTGGCCTGGCTGGCCCTGGCTTCAATCTCCAGCACCACAAAATAATAATAATAAATTAATAGTAATTAATAATAATAAAATAAAAAATCACAAACTAGATACCATAGTATGCCAATTAGAAGAAAAAATATACGCATACACTCAAGGAAAAACAGGCTTGGAAGAAACAAATCAGAATGTCCATAATAATTATCTCTGGGTGATTTTTCGATTCATTAAAATTTTCTGTATTTTTCAACAGTTTTGCCACTGGGCATGATGAAATTGGGGCAATTTCTTTGTTTGTTGGGGGCACAGTACTAGRCATCAAACCCAGGGCTTGGTGAGCGCCAGGCAAGCGCCCCCCCCCCCCTTAGAGCTGCATCCCCAGCCTGAAATGTGGGGGATTTCAAAGGCCCTGGAGGAGCTGCCCCATCTCCTGTCGACGCCAAGGACCACGGAACAGTGTTCGGAGCAAATGCCGATTGCAGGAACTTTCTTGGCCTTTAAATCCCAGAAGAGCTAGGCTTTTTCTATGCCTATCAAAGTAAGCTGGTGCCAGGCTGGAGCCCACCCTAATCCCCGGCCGGTCCCCGCCCGCCCACGCCATCCTGGCGGACGCAGGGAGGGAGGGGCCACTTGGGCTGCGCGGATGCTCCGGGCAGGACGCCCCGCTCGGGCGGCCACCGGCTCCGACTCCGCCCTCTTCCTTTGATCCTCCCACTGAATGCTGAGCCGGGAAGACMGAGCAAAGCGGCTCACATGTAATTATTTTAATTCAGCCAGATGCTGGGAATTAGGCTCTTTTCCTTGCAAATATTCTAGGGAAAGACAGAACTCAGCCAAAGATGTGCCCGGAGAAAAGGAGCTGGCAGCCTCCAGTGCAGGGGAGGCGCCCCCAGACCCCCTGGCGCGGGAAGAGCTTGAGTGGGGGGAGCAGAGCCGGGTGGTCCCTGGGTGCAGAAGGGAGGGAAGGGGAAGGAGGGGGGAGGAGGGAGGAGGGGCCCCGGTGCTAACAGAAGCCTGTTGACCAGCGCTGGCCSTGAGCCGGCGGCTGCAGCCTCCTCGTCTCCAGCTTTACAGTTTCCTAAGCGCTCTCCCGTCTATTACCTTATTTAATTATGAACCCGGGGGTAGCCACCAGCTGGGCCAGAAGCTTAGGGGAAAACTGAACCGAGGTTGCTAGAGGTTCAGAGTCCACCTCCCTAGGCACCTGCCAAGCAGCCACCTTCCCGATCTCCTTCACAGCAACCGGTCAGGCCCACCCGCTGGTGGCTGGTGGAAACACGAGGCTCTGGGCGCAGAGACTGCAGCCCGGCTCCGTGCACGCGTCAACCGGCTGGAGCCCGTGTCGCCGCAGCCGGCTCCTCAGAGGACACAGGTGTAGGAGTTTGCCTCATTACCTGCTGCTAAACCCTCGGTCTCTTCTTCCCTATTCATTCAGTCACGATTCATAATAGCTTCTCAATGAACACCTACTGCGCAGTCAGCCCTGTGCTGGGGACACAGTGGGTGAGGTTGATTCCCCCAGAGCCTCCAGGTAAACAGAAGAGCAGCACCAGAATAAGCAGCTGCACTTGAGTGTCTTTGGTCATCTCATTGCTGCCCTGTATCATCAATTCTGTTTTCCTATGTCTTAGTCTCCAACTGAAAGCAGAGTTTGTGACCCAATAGCTAGTGGTTAAAGACCTTGGCTCTAGAACCAGATTGCCTAGGTTCAAATATCTTCAAATTCGGTGGCTGTGTAACCTGGGACAGGTCACCTAATCTCTCGGTGCTGCGGTTTCCTCATCTATAAATTGAGGATCATAATACATGAGATATTATAATATATCATACTACATATATCATAATACATCAGATAAATAAGACAACCACTTAGCACAGTGTGTGGTCCAGAATAATAATTGCTCAATTAATGTCAGCTAACACTATTATGCCCCTATTCTAGCAGTTCTCAAGATTTAGACCAGGAAATCTGGGAGAAGAGGGGTCCATGAGGTCAAAGCTATTGTTGTCATAATGCAAAGCAAAGAGTTTCCTAGAGGTTACATAACTGATATCACAACAGATTGACTGCAGACTGGATATGAGCATCCAGCTGTCTATTTTTGTGTGTGGTGCTGGGGATGGAAACTGGGGCCTCCAAGTGCTAAGGTTGTGCTCTAYCACTGAGCTCCACCCTGCTTCCTTCATCTGTCTTCTAAGAAGCTGGACATTAAAGAAATTTGTAAAAAATGTAAAACAAGGGGGTGGAATGTAGCTCCATGGTAGATACCTGCCTAGCCAGCATCTAGGAGGCCCTGGGTTCAAATCCCCAGCACTGGAATAAGGGGAGGGATGTGGGGGCTGGGGATGTGGCTCAAGCGGTAGCGTGCCCGGGTTCGATCCTCAGCACCACATACCAACAAAGATGTTGTGTCCGCCGAGAACTAAAAAATAAATATTAAAAATTCTCTCTCTCTCTCTCTCTCTCTCTCTCTCTCTCTCCTCTCTCACTCTCTCTTAAAAAAAAAAAAAAAAGGGGGGAGGGATGTGGTGGGGTAAAACAAGGCCACTCTTTTCACCAAAGAGACTGTTTAAAAAAATACAGCTATTTTTTTAGAAGAATTTTTTTTTTAACTTGGGATTTTTTTTTTCCCCTCCCCCTTAACTTGGGATTTAACTAAGGTAATAAACCCAGTTTTAACTCTGAGCTACGGTTCTCAGTCCTTTTATTTATTTTTTTATTTTGAAACAAGTTATYACTACATTGCCCAGGCTGGCCTCGAACTTGTGATCCTCTGCCTTGGGCCTCCAAGTTGCTAGGATTACGGGCATGTGCCACTGGGCTCAGTCAGAAAATGTGTTACTTTTAAATGAATTCATAATAAGTAAAACATTTTTTTCTGTTTTGCCTGGTGCAGTGGCCCTCATCTATAATATTTGGGAGGCTGAAGCTGAAGGATCACAAGTTTAAGGCCAGCCTCAGGAGCTCAGTGAGACCCTGTCTCAAAATAAAAAGGGCTGGGGATGCAGCTCAGTGGTGGAACACCCCGGGTTCGATCCCCAGCACCAATAGGAGAGTTACACTGTCCAGAGGTCAGAAAGTCTCACTTATTCTCCTCAGCCCCCACTCAGCCCCAACGGAAGCCCGGACCCGGGATGTCCCAGGCTGTGCCTTGGAGTGACAGGGGCCCTCCAGCCCCTGTCCTCGCCTCCTCCTCTTCTCCCCACAACCCACCACTTCCCACCTGAGGTACCTCGTTAACTTATGTGGCCCTCTGGGTTTGGAGGACAAGCCCAGATTTTAGAATCAGGCTGACCTTGATCAGAACCCATGACACTGTTTCTTAGGGTCCTTAAAAAGGTGACTTAGCCTCTCTGATAAAATGGGAATAATGTTTTAGTTMTTTCCCTATCTATAAAGCAGTAATGACATTTTAGTACCCGCCTCTTAGGATTATTATCAGGAGTAGAGATATAAGTTATGTAAAAAACCCACCACTTGACAAATATCTACCATCATTATGATATTTATGAGCATTATTAACCATCAGATCCCTGAGCCCCTTCTTGGGGTGCTCAGCCACCCCTTCGATGTCCCCACCTCCTGCTTCTCTCTTGTTCTATAGGGGAAGCAAAACAAGGGCGGCCTGGGACTGCAGACTGGCTTCTCAACACGCATGCGCATGCACGCACACACACACACACACACACACACACACACACACACACTGCACACACACACACACGCATGCACGCGCACACACACACACACGCATGCACGCGCACACATACGCATGCACGCGCGCGTACACACACTCACTCCAACCCCACAGAGGGCTGTCACCCTATCCCGGAGACAAAATGAAAAGTGACAGGCAAATGTCAAGTGCCCATGACTGAAAAGTCCCCTCCATCACCAGGGCTGGTGCCAGGGCAGTCTTGGCTCAAGGACACATGACAAGGACTGGAAGTAGCCCTGGTGTGTGGGAGCCTGGGGACCAGGGCTCGGGGCTCAGTTCTGCCACTGACCAGTCCCCCGCCCCTGCCAGGGCCTCACTCTGAGCTGGGGTAAAAGGGAATCACCTTCCAGCTCCAGCCGGTTCAGACTCAGGAGCTGGGACACCAGGTCACAAGGAAGCCRCCTACCCTCTGTCATTGCCCCACCCCCACCAGATCCCATTGGTTGCGAAGTCCCTCTGCCACTCACCCTGCAGTTGCTGAGCTCCTCAGCAGACAGGATGATGGTGCCACATTTCTTCCCCGGGACACCACTGGGAGAGAAGATGAAAGAATGGAAAGCCAGACAAAGACAGAGCTAAACCTGACCCCCCMAAATCGGGTCCACCCCCCCGGCTGGTGGATCTGCCCCAGAGCCCCTGAGAAGACAGCGTCTCCTGAAATGCATGTGGCAGTGTGGCCTGATGCATCCTCCTGGGGCCAGGCCCTCAGTTCCAGAGCTGCCCATCCCCTGCTCCCAGAGCCCGCCAGGGAGGCTGGTGTCTGCCACACGGCCCTAGGATCCCCAAAGCATCCAGACTCACCCAGAGGCTTCCAGACCAGTGGTTCTCAAACTTTCCATCCAAAGACCACTTCTGTGGGCAAAAGACCTGGTGGGCTAACCACCCCACCCTGCACCCGGCTGACCCCAGGGTCCCAGAATGTTCAAGCTCTGAGCCACTCTGATTTGTCATGGGAGGGAGAGCAGCAAGAGGGGGCAAGGCAGGAGAGCTGGGTCGTGTCAGTGGATCTCTCCCATGGCTGCGTACTCTGGAATTCTTGGCTGGGGTCTCCTGGGGTTGAGAGAGTCCAGCCATCCATGCAGCTCCTCACTGAGCTGGGCAGCAGGGACAACAGCCACAGTGGAGAGTCCCCTCCAGGAGGGCAAATCCCAGGGAGTGGCTCCACTCAGGGGGCCCCTTATCAGGTGGGCCCCCTTCCCCCAGGCACCAGCCCATCCCACTCTGATGCTTGGTACTGGGAGGAGGCAGATCCTGGTGCAGTCAGGGGCCAATGGGAGGGAGAGGTGAAAAGGTCAGGCTGTGAGCAGTTGTGTGACTCCTTCCTCTTTCCTCGCCCACAAATAAGTGTAATTGTAGCATCCATTTTACTATATGCACACCCAGAGCCTGGCACCGAGCAGGACCTCCCTGGACATCATTTCCCTCCCTGCATCCTTTGCTTCATGATTGTGCAAAGCTGGTCAAATCCTGTCCTGCCCCCGCCTCAGCCCCAGGGCCGCTGTCTGTGGAACACACTTTGAGAACCACTGATGAAGCTCTTTCCAGCACCAGCTTTTGGAGGGAGCAGCTCCTGAGAGAGGGGAGGCAGGGGAGGAAGGGAGCTGGCCCCARAGGGTGGGGGCTGACCAGCCATCCCGGGTCTTCCCCCGGGGTGGACAGAGCAGGGGCCACACCTGCTGCCTCCCCTGCTCCAGGCAGGTGCAGTGCTGCCGGCTTGTCCCCTAGACTTGAGCACCCGAGCTGACTGCCCAGGCCCTGCCCACCTGCTGGTCGGTGCTCCACGGTAGTAAGACGTGGTTCGTGTGACCAGGCGGAGAGAGTCCTCCACACCAGCCTCCTCCGCCCTGTGCTTCTCCATCTGTTCCTCTCTTTGCCTCTGAGTCCTTCTTCTATTTCTGATCTCTCTTTCCCTCCTCTCCAGCCCCAACCTGCTCCCACAGGCCTGGCCTTCCTTCCTCTCCCCCTCCCTCCCTCTGGACTTTCTCCTCCCCCTGTCTCTGCAGTTACTGTCACCTACTCTCCCTGGGCTGGGAGCAGCCCTGGCTCCCCTGGAGGTCCCTTCCCACATGCAGCAGCTTTGGTGGCCAAACCTGGAAGGCCAGGGGAGCCCTGCTCTCCCAGCCAAAGGCACTTCCGCCAGAGGCCCCTCCCAGCAAAGCTCCCACCCTCCCCCCACCAGTGTGAGGAGGAAGCCAGGCTGAGGGGGGGCGCTCAGGGGCTCTGCCCTGCCCACATCTGCAGGCAGCCAGCCCAGTTATGGTCAGGGTGGGCAGGGAGTGGGGGCGAAGCTGGTCCACCTAGTGGCAGGTGTATGTGAAARGGGATGGGCTGGGCCTGCTCTGGGGGTGGAGGAGGAAGCTGGCCTCGGGCAGAGGAAACCAAACCCCGGGGAAGGGGAGAGGGTAAAGAGAAGGCAGGGGAAGGGCGGTGGGGGACACAGGCCAGGGAGAGGGGAAGGGATGCAGAGTGCCCAGGCCTGCTCATTCCTGGAGACAGCCCCCAACTCAGAGCTCCAACCTGCCCCTGAAGTCCCAAGAGCCACTGGGGTTCTGGATGCTCCAGCTCTGGCCTGGATGGGGGAGGGGCTGGCTACAGCACGGGGATCTCCATCTGGGACCCTGCAGAGGGACCCAGGACCCTCTCTCTGTCTCCTTCGCCAGGGCTGAGTTGTGGGATCCAGAACTGAGACCTGACTCAGRTGTCCCCTGCAGTGGGCTGAATGTCAGAAGACCCCAGGGCCAGAGATGTCTGGTGACCTACCCGTTGGACACAGCTGGCATGGGTTTGCCGGTCCTGGAGTTCAGGCTGAAGGCTCCTATCCTGTGGAGACAGGGAGACAGCGCCGGCCATGAGCCCAGTGTCCTGCTCCAGAGAGGCCAGAGCACTTGACRTTGGGATGCTTAGAGACGAGTTCCTGTCCTGGACCAAAAGCCACAGACCAGGGAAGGAGAGGTCTTGTCAAACTCTGGTGTGAAGCCGGGACGAGTTAGTCTTCAAGTGGCCCCAGAAGGAGCAGCACCAGCATCCCCTGGGAATAACCCACCCCAACCTGCCCGTCAGAAACTCCAGGGGGACAGAGCCCACAACCTGTGCCCCAGGGGACCCTGACGCCTGCTGCAGCCTGGGAATTGCTGTTCTACATCATGAACCTCAGTGTCCAGCCTGTGAAATGGGGAGAAAGAATCATCCGAGATCATGTTGTTGAACTGTGGCCTCCACAAACTCATATACTAGTCTTTAGCCYGCAGCACCTCAGAATGTGACTGAGACGGGGCCCTTAAAGAGGCAATTAGGGTAAAATGAGGTCATATGGTGGGTCTTAAAAGACTGATGTCTTTTTAAGGAGAGAGGAGGCCACAGATATGGAGGGACCACGTGAAGACAAAGAGGAAGAYGCAACCATCCGCAAGCCGAGGAACAGGGTTCTGAAGAAACCAACTCTGTGYCATCTTGATCTTGGACTTCTAGCTTCAGAATTTTGAGAAACTAAGCTTCTGGTATTTAATTCACTCACTCTATAGCATTTACYGCAACAGGGCAGTAAACTAGGAGAGTCGCGGTCCCTCTGTGTCTGTAAGGAATCCTTCCAGGACCCCCCTGCATAACAACAGCCTTGGCTGCTCAAGTGCCTCACATAAAGTAGTGCAGTGTTTGCATTCACCTTGCACAAATCCACCCGTGCACTTTAAGTCATCTCTCGATTACTTGCAATACCTGCCATAATGTAAGTGCTTTATAAATAGTTGTTATACTGATATTGCTTAGGGGAAAATGACAAGAGGTAGTCGGAGCCAGGCATGGTGGTGACTGACACCTGTAATCCCAGCAACTGGGAAGGCAGGAGAATCTCAAGTTCAAGGTCAGCCTGGACAACTAAATGAGACTCTGTTCCAAAATTTAAAATTAAAAGGGGCTTGGGATATGTCTGGGTTTGAGAAAGAAAGAAAGAAATAAAGGAAGGAAGGAAAGAAAGAAGGAAGGAAGGAAGGAAGGAAGGAAGGAAGAAATTTGTACGTATTCAGTATAGACACAACTTTTTCTCCTGAATACTCAACCATCTGCAGTTGGTTGAATCCATAGATGTGAAATCCATGGATACTCAGCACCGACTCTACAGATTTCATAAGCAAAACACTGACCCCTGTGTCTGGCCCAGAATAGATGCCCAGTAAACAGGAGCTGGKAACAGGTTTAGTCATGGAGACAACTAAACTTAGACACAGAGCCTTCAGTGGGGTGAAAGGTCCCCTCCTCCACGGGCACCTCCATCAACCTCTGTTTTCTATCCTGTGTGTCCTTTAGGGCTCAGCTCCCAAGCCATCTCCTGTAGAATTGTCCTCAGGCCCACCCCAGAAACTGTGGTCAGGGGGCAGCAGGCAAGAGACAGACCCGGATGACAAGTGGGCACAGAAACACTCATGCCTGGGCACTGGCACCAGGCCATGCCAGGAGAGTCATGGAGGGGGTGGGGTGCAGGCAGAAGGGGCTGCGGTAAAGGTCAAAGGCCCAGGGACGGGTAGACTGAGCACAAGGTCAACGCCGAAATAGCCAATCTCCTTCTCAGGTAGAGAAAGACCAAAGAATCATAATCAAAAATGGTTAAGGATACGTTCAAGGCAGGGGGTAGCAAGGGTGAATTTTGTATCCTTTTTTTTTTTTTTTTTTAAAAGGTTCTCAAATACTTTAATTTTCAGAACTCCCCAAACTTGAGTTTTCCCCAGTCCTCAATATACAATAGCTATTGTCATTATTTTCTGAGAACACAGAGATTTCTGGGGACCCTGAAGTTACCACATAGTTATCAGGGGTCACAGATAAGGAACTAGGAGAGATTCCAAACACACACACACACACACACACACACACACACACACGTCATGAACCACAGGAAGGGGACAGTGTCTAGTGGGAACTTGGCAGAAGCAAGTGGGCCCTGTGGCCTAGACACTTGTCCCAGTCCACAGGTGGCTGCTCTTGCCTGGGCCTTGCCCCTAGGGCTTCCTCAGAAATAGAGACAAAGAGAGGTAACTGTCCTGCCTGGCTGCCCCAGCAGGTCCCTGAAACCACTCTCAGGTTCTATGGGGAAACCTGGGTCCTCATCCCAGACCCTGCTCAGGGCAATTGCTTTCCTCTAAAGCACCTTTAGTCCCACGATACATGGGTGAGAGGCAGGGCAGGACGGGAAGGGCCTCACCGCCCTGGGCTCCAGCCTACARTGAGTGGTGAACGATCCCAGGAAAACRCTATGGGAGCAGAGTCRAGTCCTGGGTTCAAATTTGAGAGCYCTCCCACTTCCTGTGGCCTGGGGCAAGCTACCTCCTGGTGCTGGGGTTCCTTTCCCCTCCCCCACCCATGCAAGGATAGGAGTGGGACTGAAAATGGATAAGAAGTGTCTTCTGGGACTTTGGGAATTGAATAACCCCACTTGGTTTCTCTCCAGGATAACTGGCTTAGAAACCCTTTGAGAGCAGAGCCCATGGGTCTCCTTATTCCCTGCAAATGTCCCCTGTGGCTGAGTCACCACCCTCAGCCAGCCCTCAGCAGGGCGGCAGGAAGTTGGACGGTGGCTGGCTAAGCACCCCAGAAGGCTGTACCCCCTGCTGCACTTACGTGAGGGGCTTCTCCAGGCGGCTTCCAGAGGACCCCACGATCTCTCCAAGGGTGCAGAAGGCCTGGCCCAGGAAGTCCTATATATCCAGGAGACAAARGAGACCAGTGTCACAGTCAGGCCCCCACCCTCACCGGCTGGCCCAGGGAAGGGAGGGGGCTCCGAAGTAACAAGACACAGCATTAGACACACACCGTCACAGTGAAGGAAGCCCGAGCACACCCCAAGACACAGCAGTTAAGAAACATGAGGGGCTGGGGTTGTGGCTCAGCRGTARAGSGYTTGCCTAGCATGCCTGAGGCCCTGGGTTCGATCCTCAGCACCACATAAAAATAAATACACAAAATAAAGGTATTGTGTCCAACTAAAAAATAAATAAAAAGAAATATGGACTCTCAGGGTCGTTATAGCAGAACTCACGTGTTTGGACAAATCAGGGCTCTTGGAGTCAACGTCATATCTACAAGGAACACAGAGAGAGGGTGGAGCAGGTGGGGACATCCTGCCCACCCCTGCCTGAGCACTATCAGCACCTCCCCCAACCCAACAGCCTCCAACACTGTGGAGCAAGGGCAGGAACGGGTGCCGGCTGTTGATCTGGGGGTAAAGTGTACCCTGGGGCCGACTAGAGATTTGTGCACTCTGCTGTRTGTTATACCCCATTAAAAACTGCAAACATGAAACAGATGAGCTCTGCCACCCCGCTGGCTCACAGGTGGCTGAACCACCACGCCCATCACTCTCTGTTCCCCAGCTTCCCAGGCAAGGGAAGCTCCAGACCTGGCCTTTGACCTTGCCTTGACCTTCCCTATGGCTTCACCTTGCCCAGGCCTGCCCACTCACGAAGGAGCCTGGTCCCCCATGAAGGAGGCAGGCATAACCATCCAGCCTGCACCCAGCCGGCCTTCCTAGCTTCTGGGCACGTTTCAAAATGTCACCAGGTGACTTCTCTGCCATGGGCTGCAGAACATGCTGTGACAGAGCAAGAGGTGTGGGTACCTCTCAGCTTCCAGGAGAGAAAAGGGCACTCAGAGGAGGAGCCTAGAGGAATCCCCAAGATCTTTCCAGAGTGGACAGTCCCCCAGGAACCAGGCAGCTTCTCGTGCCTCCCACAGTCAACTGAGACACTTTGGGGGAGGGGTGTCTTGGTTCTTGCTGCTGYGCCCCCTTTCTCAGKCCTGTTGAGGCTGGAGATGGACTTYAGCCAACTGTCACKTTTAACCTGCCAATCTTGGGCTTCCCTGGATATCACAGCTCCTCCCACCTCCCCAGGTAGAGGGCTCCTGCTAGCCAGGTCCTGCAGCCCCATATCCTGGCCCTGGGTCCTCCTCCCAGCCGCAGCTCCAGCTCCCCTTTCCACTTACAGATCAAAACGGAGGTTCTGCTTYTCCTCAAAGAAGTAATCCACGATGAACTTGCGCACAAAGTCRGGGTTGAGCGTGTTGTCGATGACTTCGGTGCGCCCGAACTGTAAGACAAGATGCGTGGGTCAGGAGGGAGCCCTGGGCTGTGGTCCCGCAGTCCTGCCTCCGCGGGCTCCTGTCCCTGTCCCCTCCCAGTCAAAGTGTGCACTTCACTTGTCAACCAAAACCATCTGCATTGGGGCGCCAAGCAAAAGGGGGCTTCATTCTCTTTCCACCGAGGCTCTGCTCAAGTTGGATGGCGGGGACACCTCAGCAGGCCCTTCTCGGTCCTGCCTCCTGACTTCACCCCGGCCACGCCCTTTCCCTGGCCTCCCCTTCTCTGCCAGTGGCATGTCCCCCATTCCTCAAGGCCCATTGCTAATGCCACCTCCTCCAGGAAACCTTTCTGATTCCTCCAACCACAGAGTTTTACTTCTCTGAGTCTCCAATGAACTGAACCCACCCTATGACCTCCGGACATCTCTGACGGATTTCACGCTTAGATGTGTATTTATGTAATGCCCTGATTGTAAGCACCAGGCCGAGACAGCAGCTGGCAGGAGGCCATATCCTAAAAGATGCCCGCCTTCGGTAACCCCCTCTTATATATGGAATGACCTGGTGACACACTTCTTCTTCTTTTTTTAAAAATAATTTTTAGTTGTTGACAGTCCTTTATTTTATTTACTTATTTCTATGTGGTGCTGAGCATCACAGGGCCTCACCCATGCTAGGCGAGGGCTCTACCTCTGAGCTGCAATTCCAGCCCAGTGGTAACACAMTTCTATGAACGGACCATTGCACAAGTCATAGGATGTCACCTGTGAGTTTATATTATAAATGACTATGACTTCCATCCTGGGTGCCCTCGGTAGTTCTGTCACTTTGATGAGGCCAGCTGTCRTGATGTGAGCTGCCCTGCAGAGGGGRTGGCAAGGAAATGAGGGAGGCCTCRGGCCAACAGCCAGTAGGGAGCTGGGGTGTCCACTCACCAGMGAGAGCCTGCGCCAACCCCCTAGCTGGGAAGCAAAGCCTGTCTGGCTGCACCTTGATGTGACCACGTAGGTAGGTCCCAGTCAATACCTTGGCCAGAGCTTTGTGAGAAACCCCACACCAGAGGACCCAGCARAGCGGCACCCAGATTCCCAACCCTGTTTAAACCACATGTTCTRGGGTCATTTGTTACTTGGCAATAGATTTTTTACTATACAGAGATTGGATTTTCTTGATTTCCTTGAGTAGACACTCTAGAACTTTGCATACAGCAGACACTTAATAACTGAATCCCATTAAATTCCCCAAATGGCTTTGGGCAAGTCACACTCCATCTCTGGATATCAGAAACATCTAGAGGACTTGTTAAACACAGATCATGGACTTCGGTCCACAGGTTCCCATTTAGCAGGTCTGGAGCGGGGCCCGAGAGTCTGCATTTTACAAAGTCCCCAGGAGATGCTGCTGCTGCTGGTCTGTGGACCCACTTGGAGAACTGCTGGACTAGACTGTGGTCCACTGGATTCTCAGTTCCTATGAAGCAGGGCAGTGGGCATGATTCTAAGCCCACAATTCCATCAAAGTCTCGCTCTGTTCAATACACTGGAGTTTTTTGGGGTTTTGATACCAGGGATTGAACCTAGAGGTGCTTATCCACTGAGCCACACCCCCAGCCCTTTTTTTTTATATTTGATTTAGAGGCAGGGTCTCACTGGATTGCTTAGGGCCTCACTAAGTTGCTGAGGCTGCTTTTGAACTTGCAATCCTCCTGCCTCAGTCTCCCGAGCCACTGGGATTACAGGCATGTACTACCATCCCTGGCTTATGACACTCTGGAYTTTTTAGGCAAGATTTGTTTTCAAAAACAAATATGAGTATGAGGTTAAAAGGTAAAGTATAAAACCACTGTACTTTCAATGGAGGATTAAACCTAAGAGGGAGAAAATCCTGTCACATACTACAACATGGATAAAACTTGAGGACATTATTCTTTTTTATTTTAATTATTTTTAGATGTTGCTGGACCTTTATTTTATTCATTTATTTATATACGGTGTTGAGAATCAAATCCAATGCCTCACACATGCCAGGTGAGCGCTCTACCACTGAGCCACAGCCCCAGACCCTTGAGGACATTATTCTAAGTGAAAGAAAACAGAGACAAAGGACAAATATGGTATGAGTCCACTTATACGAGGTCTCTTAAGTAGCCAAGTCCATAGAAAAAGAGTAGAAGGGTGCTCCTAGGGGCCTGGTGGGAGGTTAAGGACCTGTGTTTGATGGGTTTGGAGTTTCAGTCTTGCAGGATGAGAAAGGCCCAGAGACCCGACTTCACAACACTGAATATACTTACCACCACTGAACTGTACACATTAAAGGATTATGATGTCAAAGTTTACAGTATGTCTTTCTCACAATTGAAAAAACAACAAACACCACTGTACTTTGTGCTCCAGGAAGGCAGGGGCCTTAGCCATTATAATATCCCCGGAGTCTCAAAATGAAGGCGACACGCAGGTACAAGATAAAATATTTTTAAAAGATTGTTAATCTTTCTAAATACATTGGCATGTTTTTGTTGTTGTTTTGGTTTTTTTTTTTTTTCTTTTGGAACTGGGAAAGAATTGTCACAATAAACAAATAATCCTCTGAGTATCAATCTCCCTTCTTGGGGGGCTTTCCAGTCCAGAAAAATGCCAGTACCCAGGATCCTTGCATGCAGGGTGGCCATGGCAGCTGGAACTTCCCCTGAGTGTCCCCTTCTGCCCTGGATGAAGTTAGATACCTGTAACAGGAACCTCCCACTCAAGGCAGTGTGGGGTCAGCAGAGAAGCCTTCCTGTCCCTTGGTCCTCTCTGAATCCACCTCTCATTCCAGTCAACGCCACCTGAGGCACCTCTCTCCTGTCCCGGCCTCTCTGCCTCTTGGGTCCTCCACACAGGCCAATTCCTGATGCTCGGGCCCTGGCTCCCTGAAAGTCCTGCTCCCAGCCCCAAGCCGCCTGCGTTTCTCTGAGAATCTCTCACTCTGCACTCCACACTGCCTGGTGATGACCTGCGGAGGCTCTTTATACCCGACCAGTCTGTGAGCTGCTCAGGCAGCAGTAGAATCCAAGTTCTCAYCATCTTTGCAGCCCATGACCCAACACTGTATCTAATCCAGAGTCACCGCTTGCTTCTGGGTGATAAAAGCCAATGTTTACTGCGCACATACGACGCTCYGCTTCAGGTGGGAGGCTCCCCCATCTTTGTGACGAGCAAAGGTAAGACAGAAAAGTTAAGTGACTTGTCAGGGTCACAAGGCTAAGAATTGCTGACCTCAAGGCACAAGCCAGGCTCAGGTCTACACCCTCAAGGTCAGGTGGTACCGGATATATGGTGGGAAGGCAAGGGCTGGCTGTGACTTCTTTTTGTTGTTGTTGTTTGGTACCTGGGGATTGAACTCAGGGGCATTCAACCACTRAGCCACATCCCTGCCCTATTTTGTATTTTATTTAGAGACAGGTCTCACTGAGTTGGTTAGCACCTTGCTTTTGCTGAGACTGGCTTTGAACTCGMGATTCTCCTRTCTCAGCCTCCTGACCCATTGGGATTATAGGCATGYGCCACCATGCCCAGCTGTGTTCTTTTTAAATATATATGAATTTTGACATATTATACAACATGGAGTATAATTTGTTCTAATTAGGATCCCATTCTTTTTTTTTT